GGGAGCAGAACAGGCAGATCGACGAAGTACACTGCTGAGGGGAGCAGCGGGCGGGTCAGGAGAGGTCTGCCACGCCATGTGGATCTCCTCCAGGATAGGTGGGAATCAAACTTATGTAGAAGTGGCTTAAGCTTCTTAGTGTTGTGCTTTAACCCGCTCCGCCACCAGGGAAGGCCGAAAAGATGTAATTTCAAAGTTATTTAAACTCTGACGCAAAATTGCAATTATTTAATTGCTTTATATATTGAGTGAAATCTTCAGGATTTTATATTCACATGAATTCCTAGAGAACATTTTCAGATAGATATCTTTTGGACTAGAAGGGATTGACCTGAAGAGATTCCATGGGTAATTATATTTTAAGTAACATATATTTTGTCTTAAGTTTGTGGGAAAATGTCGCTAAGTTAAAAAGGAATACAAAAGCATGGGGTCTACTCCCAAGGACATTGTATAATAGGAAAATGTAGAAATGGAACTCACTGAGAGTACATTGACACCAAAAGGATGAGCCATTGTTCTGGCTAAGGAAAACCTTGTTAGACTTCCCGGCAGATATGGCATTTTGAGCAGGTAGAAGCACTTCAGGCTGAAGGAGTGACACTTTTGAGGTACTGTGTCTAAAGCCCCAACTGGCACTGGAACCACACCTTCTGTCCCTGGCATCTCTAGATGAGACAGGTCTATCTCCCTCACTGCATGCACAGTTCTCTCTTCTCCTCTGGTCTGGGATGGACCTAGAACATAAACATGAACATGAACAAGGGTAAGTGGAAAAAGCTTTGAGAAGCTGCCAGAGTTTGTGGCTCTTTGCTCTCCTGCAGAGGACATGTTGTGTCTTCCGAAGAACATTCTACCACATCTAAATCTTGCTATTGTCCGCTACTGACAAATGATGTCTTTGCCTTTGGGCAAAACAAAATGGCCTAAATACCATGCCAAAATTAATAACCACCTACCAATCATAAAAAGAAATACCTTTCTGCAGTTCACCATAAGTAGCATGGCATTTTATGACTGTATTTGTTGGCTAGGACTACCCTACCAATGGATCACAAACTGGGTCATGTAAAGTGAGAAAATTATTTTTTCATAGTTCTTTCTCTGCTTCACTCTGAGCTCTGCCTTCATCTCCATGTGCCATTCTGCCTATATGTGTGTAAGTATGTGTGTGTGTGTCCATATTTCCCATTTTTAATAAGGTCATCAGTCCTAATGGATTATGATAACTCCAGTCAAACTTCATCTTAACTATTGCATCTGTAATGACCATTATTCCAAATAAGATCACATCCTGAGGTACAGTGAACGAGGACTTAAATATATGCCAGCACCTTATAGCCAAGAACACATGAACCTTAAATCTGACATGCAACAGGCCAAACTTTGGTCTTGGCCTCCTTCCTGACTCAACATGAGTGTGTTCCTCAGGTGGAAGACATTTGTGGGCAGAGCGGATCTGGTCACGTAGCTATGTTTACCCTCTGGTTGCTGCAGGTGCTTGTGTCTGGCCACCCCTCAGTGGAAGGGTTTGGTGCAGTTCGCATTATGCCATTTTGCTCTTCATGTTAAAGCCATTCCAACTTTTCCTCTTTTCAAGGATCAAGAGTATTTATCATATGTCATCTTTATCATTGGAGCTCTGCTTGTCACAAGATCTGATTTAAGTTTCAGTAAAATTGAGCAACCCCCCATTTGCATTGATTAGAAGTGGAGTGTAGACCAGGAGAGGAGTCTGAAGTCTTCCTCTTGCAGTTTCCACTGAATAAAATAAATATCCATTTGTCTAGAAGATTTTAATCAGGTATTTTGGGTAGACACAAATAACATCTAGAGAATTTAAATGGTCTTACGATTTTAGATATTCTTTAGAGATTTTAGCAACCATTATGAACATATCAATTGAAGATACAACACCTGACTGGTGTTGAAACTTATCAACCAGAACCAGTTTCCTAAACTGAAGTCTTATTTAGAGAATTTTAAATTTCCCCATATATAGAGTTTCTGTATTTATTTACTCACATGTTAATCCTCTCCTATTTTGAGCCTGGTGTCCCCATTCCCAGCCCATCGCTTTTGCCCAAAGCAATCTGTTCATTTTTTAAAAAACTGAAGCTTTCACAATTATCAACCAGTGAGAAATGAAAGATATTGTAGGGATATTATAAGGTCTGAGAACTATAAAGAGGGTGCTGGGGAGAAATTGAGTGGCTTTTCAGTCTCGTGAACTATATACTCAAATGAGCTATTATAACAGACTAGAAAATAATCTTGACTACTCTGCATTCAGCTATTGTAACTAGTCATGAATCAAAGAAAGTAATGGTTTTCCTTTAAAATATATGTTCTTCACTGATTCAAAAAGACACTTGCACCCTCCATGTTTATTGCTGCTTTATTTACAATTGGAAAGACATGGAAACAACCCAAATGCCCAAAAGTGGATGACTGGATTAAACGATGTGGTACATATACACAATGGAATATTACTCAGCAACCAAGAAAAAGAAACACATGTCTTTTGCAGCAACATGGTTGGAGCTGGAAAAGATCATTCTTAGTGAAATAAGCCAGAAAGAAAGGGAAAAATGCCGGGTGGTTTCTCTCCATAGCAGGAGTATAATGGACCAGAGAAAATAATGATGATGAACAACTCTATACCAGAGACATTTAATGGGGGTGGAGTGGGGGGTGGGGGTCAAAAACAATGGGGGGAGGGAAATGCACTGGACTATGGTGATGGCACACAGGCGATTTGGTGATGGGAAGCTCACAGGGATTACAATGGAGATGGAAAAATGCACAAAGTGATGTAAAAATAAACTATTATATAATTTTTTTTAAAGAAAAGAAAATTTTTAAAATATATATGTGTTCTTGAAAGATTTGCTATGTTCTTAAGTAAGACATCATCATTCTTAAGTTTCAAAATATTTTTCAACTCCCTATTATGGCAGTAACTAAAAACCTTGAGAAAAGATCTTTCAATAGGGAAATCTACTTCACAGGAAAATATCCAGGAATTGACCTACTCTGTAAAGTGGGGTATGCCTGTATAAAATGACACCTTTCTTTTCTTGAGCACTTTTTATTTGGTGGTAAATGGCCAATTCAAGCCTTCTGAAATTGCTTAAAATTTTAGTGACTTAACAAATAGTCACCTTGATAGTAAAAGGGGAGGAAAAAGAATCACCTTTTGCACCTTGGAATTAAGAGGAAAGGAAAAAGAAACACCAAGAAAATCCTTATTTCCAATCTTATTAACCTAAACATGTTGGTCCTACGTACACACCTAGAGACAAAGTTGAAATTCAGGCAAGCGAATAAAACCTGGAGTAGAATTTTCCTAAATATCTTGTTCATTTCCCTACGTTCTTTCAATAACTGTTTTTTGGGGGTAAGGAGCTGGAGGTTTGGGGCGGGGGAAGCAGGTAAAATAATTTTAAAAATGACTCTTAAGAGGGCAGTTGGAACTTGGAAATATTTTCTCTGTTGGTTTTAACTTGAATAATGCTTAACTCTGGGACTTTGAGAAGGAACACTGAATATTAAAAAAAAATCAAGTTTTCATATGCTTTATTGATTGTCCAAACCCTTACCATTCATGCCATTTTTAATACATGAATGGTAAGGTCTCCCAACTTCTAACCTTTCTGCTTATCTATCTGCCTGGTCACTAAATCTGCGTACATAAAACTCTGTTTTGTTTTTTGCGAAAACTTTCCTTTTCATGAGCCTTACCATTGCGTGGGGTTTCATGTCTGAACCTGGTCACTTGGATACCAGGGCTCTCATGGTCTAGCTGCCAGCTGCCCTTGTTTGCTATCACCTCCTGCTCACCCTAGCCTCTCGCCTCTTCTGGCCAGCTAATTACCCCCCCTGATCAAGGGCTCAGCAAGCTAGCTTCCCTTCCTTGTTTATGTTGTTTTCCACTTCCTCTCTCAAATTCTCCCAACTTGGATCCCACATACTTGGAGCATTTACCATCTATTCTGTACTTTTTTTGCAGCCAATCACACGTAGCTTGAATACTTAGCTTTTCTCATATTTATATCTTCTCCCTTCAAAGAAATTTTAAACTCTCATATTAGAATCTGGCTTAATGTTATATACTTCTAGTATTCTCCAAAGTAATGAAAGCAAAGGTAAATACTTCATAGGTACAAAATATATATGTATGGATTGATTATTACATTCATGAGCTGGGAACCATACAGCATTTTCTATTAGGTGTTTCCATTTCTGTTTTGCAAAGACTGCAAAGTTATTGACTTAAGAATTCAGTTAGTATTGAAAACTTAGATTTTAATTACAGTGATTACAAATACATGCAATTTTTTTTCACTCAAAGTGCAGCCAAGAGTAGGATAAGTGTATGATTTCATAGGATTCTGTTTTGAATGATGAGTCTATGATGAGATCATGGCTAAGTAGCAATAAGTCTACAGAAAACAATCTTTGTGATGAAAAGAACCCAGATTTTTCAAAAGATGAGGCTAGAAAAAATGTTTTACAGTTTATATAGAGAAATTTATGGGAATAAAAGCCTCAGATAGTCAATAGCAAAGGTTTCAAAACTGCCATAGTAAGTTAGTGTATAATTTTATTATCTTCCTCCCTTCTTCTTTAAACTAGAATCTCTTTTCTGTGGTAAATAGTATTTTCATTTCTTTAGCTGCCACTTTCCTAAATAAACTCATGGAGTGTTCTTGTAATTCACATCAGGAACTGCTAAGGTTAGAAAGTCTCCAAAGTTTCTTTCTGCTTTCGGATTTCGTTCTTTGGAGGTTGCTTTAAACCCATCTTAGTGGTGACAGCATTGCATTAAGTTCACAAAGCTACTGTGAACCAAAATTGGTTATAATTCCTTAAACAGAGGCAGACCGAAAGAATAAAAAATTTGCTCTATTTCTAGAGCCCCTAAACCAAATTCTAGGAGATTAAAATACTGAGTGTTATATCATCAGAAAAAGCATTTTGGGGTTAGAAGGGGCTCTGGAAGTGGGCAGCCAGTGGAGACAGCTGTCTGTAGAAATCAGTCATTTCAAGAGTTCCATGAATAGCATGAAGTACCATCCAATAATCACTTCTGTCTGCATCAACATCTTAAGATTTTGAAACTATTAAGATTTTCAGATTGCAGTACTTGTCTTTTTTTAAGGGGAGAAGAGGCAGGTTGGGGGGAAAAAAATGAAAGCTTAGGTCTCACCTACTAACCATTTTTTTTTTGTTCATCCCTTGCATAATGCAGCTTATTTTTTTGTTACAGTGTTTGCATTTAAACGGAATCATCATTGTCCAGGAACAAAAGTGGTCTTTTAATATTATTTGGGAGAACAGCACGGCTTCAGTGAGTTGGTAGCAGTACAATAGCTCACTCAGGCTACTACGACTAGCTGTAGACATGTTAATTAATATATTTCTCTGACACCTAGGTGATTGAAATAGCAATTAAAGAGTAATTAAAATGTTTACTTCTTGTAGGAATGTCAACTAAGATGTGGAATATAGCAATTACCTATGACGGATTAGAGGAAGATGATGAGGTCTTTGAAGTAATTCTGAACTCCCCTGTGAATGCGGTTCTTGGCACAAAGACAAAAGCTGCAGTGAAAATTTTGGACTCAAAAGGAGGTATTCTTTTGATCCTCATCTTGAAATCAGGAGCAGGCCTGGCGCTGTAGCTGCTTGCTTTCAACAGCCAACGTGCTTGATAGCGCCTTCAAATCAAAATGCTTAATTTCTTATCAAGAAAGCAACCTCAGCCATGATGTAGGCTCTTTATTCTGGTTTCTGCTTCATGTGGTTTTCCTCCTGCTAAGAACTATCGTTTGAGAAAAGCAACAAGTCAGTGCTGTAGTTGTTTTTTTCCTCCCCGTTTGTTGTTCTCACCAAGGGGGAAACAATGTTGGTGAGAATCTATCGACAATTATTTTCCCCCAGAGTTTGTAGGGCTGTAATTATCTTCCTCTGTTAAAGAGAGCTCTTAATGCCTAAAATCTGAGCCCCCACTGTAGTGTGACCAGGAAAATTCTAAGAGAGGAAGAAATTGGAGAAAAATAAATGCAGCTGGCTTGAGCATTCAGGAGCAGCTGGAGAATATTAATGAATAACCTTGGGTTGCAGAGCCAAATAGGTCCTGATAGTATGTGCTAAAGAACAACCTGTGAACTAAATAAAATAAAGACCAACCAAAGTCCTTGGGGCCCTGATTTTTTTTTCCTGCCAAAGCCTTCTACTTATTTGTCTAGTTAGCATCCGGCAGGGCTGTTACTGTGCTCAGTCTTATTACCCATTTTTATGCTTGTCGAGCCTCTGGTGCATGTGATTTCCTTACCTGGAATCTATTATCTTCTCTTTGGTTTCTCATCCATAGTACAGTCAGACTCTATCTTTTGTCTTTTATAATACTCATATTTCCCCAATCTCACTGAACCCCTTTCCTCACCAACTTCATTTCTTCAGTATAATTTTCACATTCAACACAATTAAGTACCCAAAATACAGGAAGCACACACTTTACACATTAATTATCAGCTACCCAGGGAATGGTCTGGGTTTAGATTGTTTTCATGCCTTCTCAAAAATTGCTGAGTGTTTTGGTAGGAGTAGCGACTTTCAAATTTACAGGATCTTTGTTCCACCATGCTAAATTCTGTAACTGTTAAGTGATTTCACTGACATCTTTAAACAGTTCCACTATCTACCTCTAGGATGATGTGAAAAGGATGAATTCTTTGAAATGTTCACAGGATAATACTTGATCAGTGATACACCTACCTATCTATTGAGAACTATAGGAAGAAAAGCGAGGTTGCTTTCCATGTATGGGGTGTCATTATAAAATTATGACAATGATTTTCACTTGTGGTTTGTGAAATCAATTTCATGACTTAATAATCACCCCTTAGATGTGCAGAAGGGCACAGATTTCCTGGATGGAAACTGATGAAGAGTAGAGGAGTTTCTGGCAAATGGCAGAAAGGCAACATCTGGTGGGAAGAACATCCATCTAAGTTTAATGACAAGCTGCTCCAGGGGCTGTTTCAATGTGATCACTTATCTGTTTGTGTAAAATGAACTGACCTGCTGTCTTGCATGCCTCTAGGACAGTGCCATCCTTCATACTCATTCAGCCCAAACAAGCACAAGAAGGACATTTGGCACCCGCTGTCCCCAGGGTCTTCCTCTCTCACCACTTCTGGTTCCTTTCATCTGGAAAGAAGACCTCCTCCTCCTTCAAAGCAGCTAGCCATTTCCAAGGGAGACACCCTTCAGGGCTTGGAGTCTACACATATTTCTGGAATGAGGCTTAGGACCCAAAGGAATGGCAGAAGAGTAAGGATGGGCTGTTTTGGGATTTGATACGTGAATCACTTATTAAGAATCACTAGATATTAATAAGTATTTTGAACGCTAATGAAGCTGTTAGATCCTGATAGAGAGTGGGGGTCCTGGTTGCTCACACAACCATGCAGTGACTTTTATATACCAGTATCATACTGCTACTCCATCGCATTAATTGGATTAATTGAGGTGATAGATATACTGGCTCATTTATATGATTTCTGCTTTGTTCTTTCTGTGATCAAGACAGTAAAGCAACAGTGATCCTGAAATTGAAGGAGGTTAAGTGGTGTCCTTGAGTGTGGAAACCATGTTTTTGACTTTATTGGCATAGCAGCCTAACCAGACACCCACATGAGTGTGTGTTTGTGTATGTGTGTGTGTGTGTGTTGTGTCTGTGTCCTATGGATGTAACAACAAAAGATGGTGTCTTTTCTTCCTCACTGGGGACTATGAGCGTATGAATCACCACTGACAAATTGTGACGAGGCCTGGTGATTTTTAAAATTTCAGTGATTTGAGAAGAGAAAATCTTCAGTAACATATGTTTAAAATCTGTAGACATTAACAAGATCTCACTAGAAAGGTTTTAGCCTATTGCTAATTGTTATTCAAGCCAATTTTGTTCATATTTTGTTCTTGGTTATTTCAGGTTCATCCTTCCTCTGTTTATAGAAATGGAACAGACATTATTTATAATGTAAGCATACACAGAGAATTGCTACGTTTTTTATACTTATGGATGTGAAATATTTTGGGAAATTTTATTTTATATTTTTTATACTTACATCTCTCTTGAAAAACTTGTTTAGAAAATTTGTTTTACAGGCTTAGATGGTGAGGGAAAAAAGGTTTCTCATCTATTTGCTTTGATCTAATTTTTAAATTCACATTATAGCATTTTTTTGTTTGTTTGTTATCTTGGTATTTGTTTTTTTCCTTATTGTCATTTGTTGATTTCCTCCAGTATCATGGAATGGTGTCCCTGAAACTGGAAGATGACAGTGACCTAACTCACAAAAGGAAGGCCCAAGTATCCATTATTAATCAGCCACAAAGGACATTCAAAGTGGCAGAACTGCCTCAAGCAGATAAGATGGAATCCACAACTGATTCACACTTCCCCAGACAGGTATGAAAATCTTCTTACTTCCTATTCACCTTAGAAGAGCTGTGTGCTGGGCCATAAAACAGCCCTTCAAGCTTGAGGACATTTTACTCAATTCAAATGCTACCCAACAAATGAAGACCCAAAAGAAGCTAAGTGTGTGATCACCTTGACATTGAGTTGTTTCTTAATTGCTTTTCCTTCCCATAGGACTGGCTGCCATCATTTCCAAAAAACTGCACGCTGGAACTAAATGGACTCTTCCATTTTGAAGAAAGCTTCCAAAAGCTGTATCAGTGCAATGGGATTGCCTGGAAAGCTTGGAGTCCCCAAACCAAGGTGCCAAGTCCCATTACTTGCAGTGTGCCTTATAAAAAGCAAATAGAGAATGATTGTTCATCTCATGCTACATCTGTCTGCCCTTGTTACACTTTGAAGTCACAGAGGGGAAAACGGCCTAGTGATTTAACAAGTACCTATTAAATCAAAATGGGTTAAGAAGATGTTTACTCATCCTGTCAAAGGCATAAGCTTTTTGCTCATTTTACTAGTTTTTTTCCTGTAAGAAGCCCTTGCATGTTTCAAGGTAGAAAATTGAGATTAAGGTTGATCTTCCTGGTGGAAAAACCATTCTGTTCAAGTGAGAGAACTCACAGGAATCTTTATGCTGAGACCAAACTCTGGATTGTAGAGAACCATTATGATGCGAACATGGGACGACTATTTTTCAGGAGGTGGAAGACAAATCCTGCCCAGCTGGGTGGCACCATCACTCAGGATACTGCCACGCCTTGATCACAGAGCACAAAGTCACCTGGGACATAGCGGCCAGAGCATGCAGGGAAAAGTAAGAAACCCTTTCACATTTCACATTTGACAGATGCTTTCTTTTCTGCTGTTTCTCTGTTTTCTTATAGGACTGTAGGGTCCTGTAGGGCTTCATTCATTCAGGTGTTGATTGTCTAATATCTACCTGAGTTTGTTTTAGGAGCCAGGAGGAAATTCTATAGCTCAAAATGGACTAGGATTGTGACATTCATAATTTATTTTGACTTAGCTCCTCTCTTAGGTTAAAATTGTGCTTTGCCACAATTCTATTTTCTCTTAGCTTATATATCTAAATCTTTTGGAGAAAGTCAGAATGATTTTTGGAATCAGCAGTGCTTTTCTTTTGTTTCTTTTTTTTTTTTTTTTAAATGAATAGGCATTCCCACCCACTGATTTGAAAATAGAGAGCAATGAAAGGTCTTTTAGCTTCAGCTCTATGATGATATAAGAGGCATTGATTATTATATTAGCAAACAAGTTAGACAGAGGGTCATTTGGTCACAGGTCACTCAATGAAGGACAAATTAGGTTGTTAAGTAATGGCAAAATTTGTGTAGTACAGATGGATTTTAAAATGTATGTGTAATTATTCCTGATCCTCCATTTTGTCTACCTTAGTATTATCCAAAACAGTGCATTTAGACTAATATATCCAAGGCTGGAAAATGAAACTATAAAATCCCTCATGATTTTACTTCATCTAATTGTAAAAAGTTTTGCTCATTTAACAGTACTATTAAGAAAATAAAATGACACCAACAGTAAGGAAAAAGTAATCTCAAATCAGGTATTTGATAAATGTCTCAAAACAAGGAAATACAAACTCCTACAGGTCAATAATAATGCAATAAATATATAGCAAGTGACTTGGAAATTTCATAAGGAAGAACATACAGTTGGTTAATTATGACATGAAAAGTTGTTTGCTATTATTAAACCTCAGGGAAATGCAATGTTAGTAAAGTATTATTCTAATATCCATTAGAATAGTTAAAATCACAAGATTGACAATACTAAATATTTTTGGTGGATGTATACAATGATACAACCACTTTGTAGGAATGGCACTTATTTTATAAAATTACATATCTCCACCTTCTTCCCTAGTAATTCTATCCCTAGGTATTTATCCAACAACAACAAAAATATCTCAGAAAAGAATATTTACAGGATTTTATAGCATCCTGTTTATATCAACAGTAGTTGGACCATTTGTGTTTTTATTATCAGTATATAGGAGTTCCTTATACTTTCTTTATCAACAAGGAAAGGGATAGATTTTTCTTTTTCTGATAAATTCTTTTATAAATAATAAAACTAAATGAGCTACTGAAACCTCCAATAGTATGGCTGAATCTTGAACACACTTTATAGAGATAAAGGGACCTAACAAAAAAGAGTACATATTGTATGCTTTCATTTATGTGGATAAGAGAAGCTGATTAGTTGGTGTTTAAATAAAAACAGTTTTGTCTGGCAGGAATTAGGAGGTGACTGGGAAGTAACATGAGGTAGGATAAAGAATGATGAAACTGTTCTCTGTCTACTTCCAGGGGGTCGTTACTTGGGTATATGCAGTTGTTAAAACTGATGGAATTGAGTATTTCAAACTTTATGCACTCATCTATAAGTTACATACAAGTTTAAGGAAATACTAATAGAATATTTAAAAGCTATATTTAAAAACTGATAAAATTAATCACCATCCTCTTCTTCCTGATGTATTTCATTTGGTAAGTGTGAGTAGAGGTCTTCATAGAGTTAGTCATGGCTTTCAGGTTTTTGTTGGTGAGTTGGTAATATCAAATAAGTTAAAACATATTTTTAATCTTAAAATAATCATTGTGTAAATACATATATTCCTGTATGCTATATGTAAAGAACAATGAATAATATCTTTCACCAAAATAACCAGATGTCCTACCTTTATTTAATGTTTGTCTCAGTGCATTGGAAACTCAGGGATAGTGGTATAGATCTTTTGTCTTCCTTAAAAAAAAAAAGACCTTGGTGGCCCTGCCTGGTGGCGCAGCGGGTTAAAGCGCAGCACTAAGAAGCTTAGGCCACTTCCGCATGAGTTCGATTCCTGCCTGCCCTGGAGGAGATCCACATGGCACGGCAGACCTCTCCTGACGATCTGCCTGTTCTGCTTCCCCACTCTGTCTCTGGTGAATCCTCTCACCCTCTGCATCTCTGGCCTGTACCCCAATTCTGTATGAATAAATAAATAAATCTTTAAAAAAAAAAAAAAGACCTTGGATGTGAAATCAAAAGTTCTCTGACTAACAAGAAGATTGCAACCAGCTACCCAAGGGAAGATACAGTTTCTCTACTAACACACGATTACAAGTATGTATGTGCAGTTGTACTCTTACCAACGTTATTAAGATCAGGTTACTGCTGGGATTTTGGGGTAAAATATAGGTTAATACAGGAACAGAGTCCCCAACCCCCAACTTTGGAATCAGCATTATTCATCTTTCAGTGAAGTTCAAACAAGGGTATAAATAATGCCTGCTCTCTTATAATGATGCTTTTATTTTTGTTCAGTGTTGCTTGAATGACATCTTTCTTTCCAGTCCTAATGCTTTTCTAAAATAAGTCAGTGTCTTTTCTCAGAAGGACAAGTCTTTATTCAAAGCTTATGATCTTGTAGCTCTTTGGTGTCAGAATTGTTTTTAAATGAAATAGCAACTTAGAGTACTATTAGTGATGCCTCATGTTGACTACCCTCCAAGAGTTGCCCAATGTTTTATAATTTTATCTTTTAATTTTATTTCATGTATTCATTTATTTGCAGTTGGATTTTCAATGCTAAATATAAATAGTAGCAAACTTACTTAAAAGGAGATTCTTTGTATATTTGTTAATATTTTACAATTCACTTATTCCAATGGTAAACTTCAGGCCCAAACCAATTAATTAATTGCTTTCAAAGTGAGTCCATAAATAATGATTGAGGGTCCATTGTGTGCTTAGCATTGTCCTGGGCATTAGGCGGTAAACTCTCAAGGTGACACCACAGACCCTCCCCAGAGAATTAAAACAAACATGATTGTGATCCAGAAATGCCCAAAATCTTTGAGACATCTATCTGATGTTTGGGAATATATTTACTGCTCATTCTTGGAGATTCTCTTTGAGAATGTACATTGAGGTAAATTGTTAAACATTGGTTGGGCCTCAATTTTAAGTCATGTAAAAGATACTGAGTGTAGTATTTTAACTGTAGTAACACCTTCTCTGGGATAAAAATTAATGTTTTTGTTCTCAGATTTTCTGAGGGCAAAATGAGTGAAGTCCTTTGAAAAAGGGTCTGTAACAAAATTTCAGTCAAACTTGGGGAATCATCTTTCCTCAAACCCTCAGTTTCTTCTTCTGCCCACCCCCATACTTCTGGCCTGTACCCCAGTTCTTATATGCATAAATAAATAACTCAATCATTCCTGAAATCAGGCTAATGGCTCCAGGGGACCAGAGTAGAACTGATAGCTTCTCTTTGGCAACCAGTCTCCTGGGAGGGTGTGTGGCTAATGTATGGCTGCCCCCCTCTCCTGCCCATTGGGACATGACAGGGTTATTTCTCCCAGCAAACAGAGCAGTGATAGTGGACAGACTGTTGGCCACAAGTAAAAGCCTAATCTTCCAGCTTTCCCAAAAGTCAGGTTCAAGTTGCATGAAAAGAAAATAGCTAAGCGAAGTATTTCCAACCTTTGTCCTCTGGTGAAGGTGTAAATTAATTTGAAAGTCTAGCTACTTTTTCATGCATTTAGTCTGACTTTATCTGCAACTGTGTTTTCAGCACCTTCACACCATGTCACTTTATACTGACTGACTTCATTCCTTGCCTCCTTGTATTAACACTTTACTTTCATATTACACTTTACAATTTATGGAATTATTTCAAATGATTAGCTTATTTGATCCTCCCATCATTTCTGTGATATCTACATTTTATAGATAAAGAGATTTTGGGAAGTAAACTCACTTTCTCATGTTCATACAAACAAATAAGTGGTAGAGGCAGGATTTATTTGGTAAATTTTATTCCCCAAAATAGCTCCATAAGTATAGGAGAGATCACATCTAAAGTGTTTTGACAACAGACCTATTTTAACTGTGTTGGGTGAGTGTAAAGAGGTTTTCAAAATTAATTTAATAAATTTATGTCTTTCACAGCAAAGGTACATTAAAATTTGTATTGAATCATGAATCCTAGGTTTCCTTCCAAATGAAGGAAATATATAAGGCAAATATAAGGTAAATCAAGTTTTGAGTGACAAGAGTCATTCAATAAATATTGCCATTTATTGTATTGGGAATGTCAACACCAGATTAGACATTTTAAGTATTATTCTTCTAGTACTGAGCTGAAACCCAATAACTAAATAATTCCTCATTATCATGAGCTTCATAGAAATGGCACCTTAACTCTCCAGATCGGCTTTCCTAGATAGCAAATTACTAAACCTACATTTTACATCTGTCAGTTTATTATATTTACTATAGAGATTATGCCTCCCTATAGTCCCTTTTCTTTTAAAGATTTATTTATGTAGACAGAACTGGGGTACAGGCCAGAGGTGCAGGGGGTAAGAAGATTCACTAGAGACAAAGAGGGGACCAGAACAGATTAATTGGTGAAGTACACTGCTGAGGGAAGCAGCGGGCAGGTCAGTAGAGGTCTGCCACGCCACGTGGGCCACCTCCCTGGCTGAGGATCTAACTCGTGCTGCAGTGACTGCAGTAGCTTCATAATGCTTACCTTTCACTCGTTGTGCAACCATAGAGGGCCCCTATAGTCCCTTTTACAAAGTTCTATCAAGAACATAAACTACACTGAATTTAAATTACACTGTAGCACTGGCTTGATCCCCAGCCAGGGAGGTGACCCACATGGCACAGCAGACCTCTCCCATCTCATCCTCTTCTCCACTCAGTCAGTCTGCCTGTTCTGCTCCCCACTCTGTCTCTGGTGAATCCTCTCACCCCTGATACCTCTAGCCTGTACCCCAGTTCTTGTATGCATAAATAAATAAATTTTTAGAAATTGCATAACTTAACTCTCATTGTGTTGGTATCATACTATAGTTCCAATTAAAAAGATTCTGGATCTATGTGTAATGAATTGCAAGCAGTATTCATTGATTAACTATATAAGAAGAAAAACAAATAATGTAAATGCAAAGAGATTTTGTTCCAGAATAAACATATAAAATCTATTATAATAGTGATAAAATTTTCCATCTTCCCAATAAATTCTAGGGAATGTATGGTCATATCTAACAGGTCAAACCTGCTAGTACAAGCAAGTTCTTTTATTTACCTTGATAACTTAGGGAATCGTTTTAAATTAACTGATTTTCTTTTACATGTAAAACTGAATAAATTTTTTGAACAAGAGATTTAAGGACAACTAGAGTTTTTCTATTAAATTTTAGGTAGTGACTATATGTTTATTAATAATATAAACTTCTATTTCACATCTGTTCACCAAATTGGTCAAGAAATTGAAACAGAATTCAAATAACACATCTGATAGTATCCTAGGGTATGCAAAGGAGGTTAACAAAATATAAAAATATCTCCAGTTTCCTTTGGATCAATCATTCTAAGAGGAATGTAGATACCCCCTCCCCTCCTTTCTTAGTGCAATTTTACTTGGAATTCCAAACTCTCTGATAGCATTCATCATGTTGTTATTCATTCTAAAGACTACACTGCTGCCTTTTATTCAGTAACATTCTGGTTCATTTTGTCCTCTTCTTCTCTAACCCCTTTGGCTGGAAAAATAGTTATTATTTAGGATTGATCAATTCTTCTTATAATGAAAACTTCATACTTCCCACATTTTGTAGTCTGGATATTTGCCTTTCCATGAAATATATTTTAAGAGATGGTTTTAGATTCTATAATTCAAATTGTTACTTATCTAGTCTATTTTTTAATTTGGTCTCAGAGTCAGTTCTGAGCTGTTTACTCACGTTCGTTTGCTACCTGACCATCCTCCATGAGCTCATTTACAGCAACTTGTGTCTAGAGCAGCATTTTTACCGTATCCCTCGTCCCTAATCAGATTGCTAACTCAGCTCAATCTTTATCTGCAATCTCCTTTCCTCCTCATTGGTGTTTTATTATTTTTCTAACCTAGAGGAGCCAGACTCCTAGATTAGGTATTTCTTGAATTTACATATTGTAATCTCATCTGCTCATTTCCTTAGGCAATCCCTGTACATTTGGTAATTCTATTATTATAGATCATTATCTATGAAACCATTTTGGTTTCCCACAGGAGTGTCTGGAACCCCTGCTGCCCTCTCCTTAAAGAGTCACTCCAAAATATATCTATACTTTCAAAATGCTTCAAAGAAGTAGGCCTTTATTTTTGTAACTAGAAAAAACAAGTTTTCTACTTTTAATATCACACTTTCGATGTCTTAAAATTGCAGAGCTGTCAAAAGGTTATTATCTCTATATGTTTATATCTCTTTATTTTTGTGTCTATGTAATACATGTCTGTATTAAACTAATATTTTATATGTATGTAAACATACAAGAAAAGGAAATATTTTTTTAAATAAAATAATCAACTGTTAAGTGCCTAAATATTTCTTTTGTAAATAATTGTGCTCTAACATTTTACCCATTCTAAGCACAACTATTTTTTAATCTCATTCTTTTGGGATTTTGCTTCTTAGAGAGTCAAAAAGGACATCAAATTAGTATTTCAGTAGCTAAAAAAGTTATTTTTAGTGATAATTTCAATAATCTTAAAAGAGAGAAGATATTAAATATCCTAGAGTAAAACCTGTTACTTCCTGGTGATGAAGCTGAGGGTGCAAAGTTGCATCCGTAAGGGAATTAGCACAGAGTAGAAAGCAAAACCCAAGTCTTCTACATTCTTTTCAATATACCATTATTGACTGTGGCAGCCCCTGGAATCCTTCTTACCTACATTTAATACACACTTGGTATTTAGTCCGTCTAACTCCTCAATGTGTTAGCATTGACATTTTGAATATGAGAAGTGGAGAAAAAATGCGTTATCATAGCTGCTATAACTGTCAGACAGGCATTGACAGTAAATAATGAGGTCAGAAGCCAGTCCCCAAACTCAAATCCATCAGCCTGGGGCCATTTGTGACATATCACAGAAGGCCTTGAACTCACCACTGCATTATGGAACAGTAAAGTACAGCTATTAATGGGGAAAATCATTGATATAAATAAATTATGTTCACTATATGTTATCTGGGAAAGCAGAGAAATGGATCTGTATTTTTGAAAGTCATAGGCAAATGAGTAAAATTCAATTCACCATTTAGTGAAGCTTTTTCTTAATAATGTATACTAGCCAAGCAAGGAGATTACAGTGCTTGTATTTCTGATTTTAAACTTTCTGTGTTAAAAGAAGAGGAGGAGAAAGAGGAAGAAGTGACAATCTTTTGGCTTGTATTGAAAGCATTCTGTAAAAGGGCTTTTGATGAGCTTTGTTAGGAGATTAGATGCAATAAAATATTGCTTATAGGAATATTTCAGCTAGATGCAAAAATAATTCATAAATAATTCTGTTTTGGGGAGTAATATTTATTTATGTTTGAAAGAAGAGGTGTGATGATTTAACAGTGAGGCCATATTCATTTTACTTGGGTATGATGAAGAGTCACCATTATTTACATGTTTTACCTAAAACTCCAAGTTTAAAATGTTGGCCTCAACAAATTTTATCTGAATGGCTGGGTCACTTTACTGTTCAACTTAATGATTGCTGGATAATTGCCAAATGTGTGCCATTTAGAAATATCTTCCTATGAAAGAGTAATATTCTGGTACTAAACATTTCACCTGGCAGTTTCCAATTTTCTAAAACAATGCTGAAAACACATTGAGTTTGTGCTTGCAATCTAGTTACAGTAATAAAACATCATTTTCCTTCCCGTCACCTACCACCACCCTGTAGATACTCATTAAATTAAGAAACTAGACCATTAAAATCTTGGCAAGTTCTTTCAACAGATGTACCTTTTTCTGTGTTAAACTAGTTTTGCTTGCCTGCTTGCATTACCTCTCAGATGAAATGTTGCGCTCCTGTCACTAAAGCTCTTTTTTTTTCATCTGTTTGCATGTAGACACCTGGGCAGCCTCGTGACGGTCCTCTCCAAGCGACACATGCGATGGCTCTGGGACATCAGTGGAAGGAGGCCTTTCTGGATAGGTAAGTTCTGGTGTTGCACTCAGCAGGAGGCATAGTCAAGCAGAGAGCATCTTCCTTCCAGGGTCCAATGATTGTGGTTTACAGTAACAAGCAAAGTTAGATGGCTAGACAGTCTGACTTGTAAACTCACCTGACACCTTTGACTCAGTCTTATCTAGATAACTGTAAGGGATATGGTGAGATAGGTAAGAGAATCCAACAAGACTGCTTCTAAAAACTAAAAAATTTGACATTGCTTATAAATAGGGGATGATTAAATAAAATATAGTATAAACATCTGAAGAGATGTTTAATATTTAGTGCTTTTGTAAGGAATTAAATATTAAAGATGTGGCCAAGTGCCTTATGCTTATTAATTGGGTCCACAAATATACATTTGGTGCATGCTACGAATAAAATATATAAATTATTACATTTGTAGCAAGGTGTTAAGTCAAAAAGGAGGGTTGGCAGTATTCTGAAGCATGATTTAATCTAGAAAAAAAGGTGTGTGTGTGTGTGTGATATATGTGTATATATAAAGCCTATATAGTCAGTGATATAGACAGATAAAATAAATATGCTAAAGAATGAGATGTTTTACCTCCACATAAGAATTATAGGTGATCTTAATTTGTTTCTTTTCTGAGATTTTAATGTTTTTCTCAATTTTAACAATAACATCTTTTCAATAATACACTAATATAAATCTGTTTCATTTAAAGATAGGATTCTCAGGACACCTCAATTTAATTTTCTTACTATTTCTTAAGGGCATTTTATTTGAGGGAACTTTAATAATTGAATTTAAAGAAACCATAAAAAACCCAGTTTTGGCCTCTCAAAATTTCTGTAGTGCTCAGTGAATGTCTGAATTCCGAAATTACCTAAGAGAATTAAGACTAGAGGATAATATTGTATACATCCACCATGACTGATTCTATCCTTACAATGTACTTAAGTGTAGCATCACCTGATCAATAATTCAAGGAAACAATCCAGAAGGAAATTGATTGACCCTAACCAAAAGCACTTCATTTTAATCTCTCCAAAAATATTGACTGAGAGTCAGCTGGAAAAAGGTAATATGCTATGTAATTAAAACTATTTTTACTCTCAAATTTGGTTTCACAGATGTCAGATCATGCTATTTTAAGGACATTCTATTCCCGTTTTATTCCTTTTATTTTTATTGTGAAAGAGAGTGAGTTAGAGGAATGTTTCTTTAAGGAAAATTACAAGAACTTTACAACAGTAAGATGTAATTTACAAAAATTGCCAATGGGAATAGAGAGGCAAGTAGAGAAAAAAATCCTTTTATTGAAATTGTAGCAGACGGAAAAGATCTTAAGCTTCAGACTGAAGATAACAAATAGTAAACTACTTTCAAATATGAAGACCAAGGCATTTGATAATAAGAAAGATGAACAACAGACAAGAGTGTATCTGTTTCTCTGTGATAAGAGGTCTACTTTAGGATAATCTGAATAATAAAAACTACCATTCGTTGAACACATGGCACAAGCTTCATCGTTATGCTACCCCTTATCTTATTTCATCCTCGCAACACTTTTATTCCCATTTCTTGGACAAAGAAACTAAAACAAAGAGTGGTTAACCAACAGCTAGCAAAGTAGAACTTGGTTTTGGACTTGGGCCAGCTTAAGTTCTTGATTGTGTCTTAGAAGCCTCCTACCTCCTACTTCATGTTTTAGATCCTTGGTCCATGTTTTCCTGTGGTTACCAGACTTAAAACAACAGACTGATAAGATGTCCACGCATAAATGTAATAAAATCCTTTGGCACATTCTTTTGGTTCACATTAGGTTTGAATGACCAAGTGCATGCTGGCCTCTGGGAATGGATTGGCGGTGAACCTATCACCTTCACCAGCTGGAGGAGAGGTCCCCCTCGACGGCCAAAGCCTGGCAGGAACTGTGTTTTGGTTCAAAGACAAGGGAAATGGCAAACCAAGGACTGTAGAAAGAGCAAACCTCACAATTACATGTGTTCCAGAAAACTCTAAATATAGCTGGGTGCCCACTTGGGATATCTCACCTATTTATTCACAGGATTTGTGCATATTGCTCAATAGAATGCAAAATGTCATGTCTCACCTGGTACTTTTTTTTCTTATCATAGTATATGAGTGATTCTATCTAGAAAAAGGACCATAGATGAATAGTTCCAGAATACTGGTAAACACATATATCTTTTAGGAAGAGATACAAGCTTTATATCACAATACTTTTCAAAATAAATGCCCAAAATATTATAAGGTAGAGCTTTGTTTATTTCAGAGGATCGCCACCCTAATTCCACTCTGTCTCAGTCAGCACCAATTTCATGGTCCTTGGGTTCTTTGGGTGTTTTCGCCCTACTGCCTCTAGTGAGTTTGTTCTGAAGTCTGTGTTGCAAGTGCAACCACTGCAGTCTGAGTGAAAATAACCCCACCATTTCATAGAACTGCAAAGGGTTGTTCTGCCCCTTTGGAGACCCTCTAAATGTGAAACTTGAGATAGGAAACTATGGGGAAAAAAGGAGAAATCTCTGCCGTGAAAAGCGGGTTTAGCTGGAAATGTGTTGCAGGTAGAAGCTCATTTTCAAAAGTCTAATTCAATTTAAGAATTCAGGGACTACCCGATTCCAGGGTTTTGCCCAGTGCCATTCTTGAACTAGGTCTCCATTTCCAGTAAGAATGCGGCACTGTCCCTTTACAAGCTAAGTATGGACTTGCCCTATTTTCAGATTCATGATAAATTTGAAGTAAGGTGAACCTTTGTATCTATACTTCTAATACTGACTAGTATTTCTCGAGAACATTTGATATATAGTCTGTGTGAATGATGGCTAATAGGTAGAAGAAACACACTATTTCTTAGGTGACCAAATGAGGTATGCAGATGAGAAAATGACATTTTTGCATAAATAGGAACTGGCAAACACCTATATTCTCAGAAATTATTTTTATATGATTTGGGTCCTTCAATCTTTCATATTTGTAGAAATATCATGTTAGCTTTATTGTCTAATGTTGATGTGCCATGTTCATCTATGTTTTCAGCTGAGTTAAACTTCTTTATAGCTGTGATGCTTATTGCTGCCTTCTAAGAACTCCCCTCTGAAATCAAGGTTTAACTGCAGGTAATTAGAAGTGTACTTTTGAAACATTTGCTCAAAATTTTTCTTTTTTTCTGAAACACTAAAAAACATGGTTATGTCAAATGTAAACTGCTGTATGAGACCAGTGTGGCTTCAGAGTCAAAAGGGAGTTTTCAAATGGACTCACTCTTTGGTGCAGGTTTTATTAGAATGATATCTTAAATGAAACTAAAAAAGGCTGAAGAAATTCAGGTCAGTTTCTGGGTAGAAAGCATGGTTTCATCTCTAGTCATCTATCAAGATTTTGACTAGCAGGAAATTTACAGTGAAAAAATAGGACCAGACTAAGACATTCTACCTCTTACTTAAGTGTAAACATCTTTGAGGAATCAGGAATCTCCTTGTCTAGATGTCACAGGTAGGTCTCGACACAAAACCTGGCTCCATACCAGCCTCAACCCCTTCTGGTCCTCTGGCAATGCAATAGAGAAAGTGGGTGTCAGAGAAAGAAAGAAAAAAAGGCAACCCTAGGAGGGAAAGTAGAGCTTTAAAAAAATAAATAATTTAAGGGCTGCTTCTTCTTACTGGAACTTTAGAATCATATTAAATAATAAAATGGAAATCCAGAGCCATGGAGACTCTGCCATACCTTTGGTCAACATGATAGGTTACTTTAGACAGTTCTGAAACAACAATAATATTTAAGTGTAACTGCCAGTGTTTGCCATGAGAACATTTTGACTTTTTATGATCACTAGAACAACTTGAAGAATATTTTTAAATAGTCCAGATTGTGAAATTATGAATCATGTTGTTAAATCGAGGGTGTGAGAGAAGATACAACCAAAAGTGAGGCCAGTGTTGGGTGCCTGGCAGTATTCACCAGGACCCTCCTGTCTTTGTCCTGATCCATCTCTCACTTGGGGAGAAGTAAATAATTGTCCTAGTTCTCCCCATCTTAATTGGTCACTGTCACCCTTCAGGCTTTGGTGACAATAGAAGGAGGTGGAATAATGGTAGAATGGGGATAAGTGAGGAAAGGGAGGAGGGGGCGAAGGCTCGAGTAGGGAGAGATGGGGCTGATGGTAAGTAGGCAGGAGAGCAGCAGAGAGAAGGACCTGGATACCAGTTATTCCCAGACTTGTTTATTGGCTCAGGGAAAGTCCTACTTTATCCAAAGGCATCAACTCAGCTGAAGGGTGTGTAACTTTTCAGAATTTTTTCATTTTTGGTCTATAACAACATGCAGCATATATTTGCTAAACACTAACTTAAAAAGCATATGATGATTTTTCCATCTCCTTCCAAGGACCAGGTGACATTTATTTAAATTTCTGTTTTGATTTTTAATATAGTCAAAGAGAACATGCACATATTCTCATTAACAGTATGGTTCTGCATGACTTAAACTTCAAACTGGTGCTGATTATGTTTTGCAGTAAAGCAGCATATTAAATGTACTGTAGCTAGTGTTGTATCAAAATTAATAAAATAAGGTTATTTTGATTTCTGTGTCACTATTCTTTTAGTTTCTAACATTTTATATTTTATTCATTATAAGAAGGAATGAAGAAGAAAGTACATGATTATTTTTAATCATAGCTATTTAGACCATCTTTAGTTATATGACTTCTATCCATCCGCCCAGCCTCCATCTACCCTAAAACCTTGCATTTGACACTGTTTGCAATACTGCAGATATTGTAGTGAATGAGATAAAAATTAAAGTATTAGATGATGGTATATTTTTTAAAATATTTTATTTAATCCATGCATACAAGAACTGGGGTACAAGCCAGAGGTGCAGGGGAAGTGAGAAATTTCACCAGAAATAGAGTGGGGAGCAGAACAGGCAGATCAACAAAGTACATTGCTGAGGGAAGCAGAGGGTGAGACAGGAGAGGTCTGCAGCACCATATGGGTCACCTTCTGGGCTGGGGATCTGAGCTCTCACTGAAGCAGCTGCGGCTAGCTTGCAGTGCTGTGTTCTAACCCATTGAACCACCAGGGAGGGCCCTAAAAGCTTGTTTTAGAAAGCCATAAATGGGTTGTTTTTGCTGTGTATATTGACTTAGCCAAAGTTTGTTTTTTTTTTTTTTTACCACCCTTTACCCCATGTCTTGTTTATTTGTTTATACAGTTAGTTAAGGGGAAGGGAATGTGGATTTGGCATATTTTAAAATTTATGGTGCTGTTTTATTGATCTTTCTCGAGACTCTTCCTCCCCATCCATCACAGGAGAACTGTTACTGGCAGAGTGTGATGGAATGTCTGTAGTGTTCTGAATGCCATCATTTTTTGAAAGTTAATTTTATAAGCCTTTAAAGCAAGATTGTGCAGGAAATGAATATACTATGCTCATAACTTACACATGTAACTGTTCATTTGAACAGATTTTATAAGTCTCATATTCTGCCTGGCAATAAGGTTTCATTTATCTAAAAAAACAGGAAGGAGCAAAAATCAAGCAACACTTGGATTAAAGGCCTCATGTTAACTAGCAATACTTTCTTCAAGTAAAGAAGTATGAGTTCACCTGTTGCTTCTCTGCCCATCTGAGTTTTGGCTTTCAACCCCAACTTACCCTACAGAAGAAATGTGTGTCCAGACCCATCTATCTGTACACTGCCTACAAGAAACATACTTTGAATACCATATATGCACACATATTTAAGGTAAAGCATGGAAAAGACATGCCATTCTAGGGTAGTTAAATGAGAACTAGAGTAGCTGTATTAATATAAAGTGGGTTTTAGAATCAACAATCTTACCATAAACATAAAAGTTTATTTTATAAATTTAAAGGGGGTAAGCATATCAAGAAGATATAATAATCCTAAACAATTTTGCATCTAATGCAATGCTTTAAAAACACATGAAGCAAAACTGAGAGAACTGTAAAGACAAATATACATATTTACCTTTATAGTCAGAAATGTCAATACCCTCTCCATAAGGTAGAGCAAGTAGGCAGAGAAGAATATAGAATTATATATACTCTTAACAATCTTAATTGACATCTGCATTACCCAACAGTAACAATATATATTTTCTTCAAGTGCACATGGAACATGTATCCTTACTGGTACTATTCTAGGACATAAAATAAGTCACAATAAATTTAAAAGAATTCAAGTCAAAAGGAAGTTTGAGGAAATGAAGACATTAAACCTTCAGGAAAATCTTATCACTGAGATAGGCTTCAGAAAATGGGGGCTTTCTCAAGCTTTTGAAAAGTTTTTGCTACTGAAGGAAGATGCTATGCAGTAGGTGGGCTAAGTAGCCAAATGTTATGTCATCATCAGTAAAATTGGACTTGCATTGGGGAAGTAAAAGATTCAAGTCATACAAAATATTCTCTGACCACAATGAAACTAAGTTAGAAAATATTGCAGTAGCACAAAGGTCTCAGAAAAACCACCACATGATTGGAAAACTAGCAATTTCTTTAACTCATGAGTTAAAAGAGAAATGAAAAATAATGTTGAATAAAAATGAAAATAACATGTCAAAAGTTTGTGGGATGCCATTAAAACAGTACGTAGGAGAATGTTGCAGTACTAATTGCCTACATTAACAAGTAAGAAATAACGTTAGCTTCCACCTTAAGAAAGTAAAAAAAGAAAACAGAAATAAGGGAGGAAAGCATACCACAGCAAAAATTAAAACAAAAGAAAAGAGAAAATCTGGGGCCCTTCCTGATGAGGCAGTGGGTCAAAGTGCAGAACTACAAAGGTAGCCACAGCCGCTTGAGCACCAGTTTGGTCCCAGTCTGGAGCTGGTGCGGTGCTGACCCACATGGCGTGGCAGACCTCTCCTGTCATGCCCGCTGCTCCCCTCAGCAGTGCACTTCATCAGTCTGCCTGTTCTGCTGCCTACTCCGTCTCTGATGAATCCTCTCACTGCCTCTGGCCTGTACCCCAG